AGCTCCTGCGTTGAGCATCTGCTCCCTGGTGGTCAGTGCACATCAGAGTGGTCGTTTAGCCTAAGGGTAGCTTAGGCTTTTATTATATAGATAATTGACCACCCCAATAAATCTGGCACCCATCCTGCAACATGCCTAGTTACTAGAACATTTTATTAACTATGTTCTCTGTGCTTTACATCCCCATAACTATTCTGTAACAACCAATTGGTGGTTCTTAATATTGTCACTTTTTTTTCTGCTACGTTTACTTTTATCTCATCTGTCCATGTTCCCATTATGTCATTTGACCCAAAAATGACCTTTTTAGCAGTATTCTTTCTCCAATACAAGATCAGCCTAAGGTCAGATTCTATAGTCATTTAATCTGGAGCATCCCCACAGATGCCCTCCATTCTTTTTGTCTTTTACTTGCATTATTTATAGCCCATTTTAAAAAAAAGTTTAAGCGAATTTAATCTTTCCTTTTGTTTACATCTTAGTGTGAGCAGAGAATGATTCCTTTTTCTTCTCTCTTTTTAAAAATATATTGATTTCAGGGAGGAAGAGAGAGGAGAGATAAACAATAATGAGAGAGAATCATTGGTCAGTTGCTTCCTGCATTGCCCCCACACGGGATTGAGCTTGCAACCTGAGAACAACTCAGGGCATGTGCCCTGAGTGGAATCGAACCCGGGACCCTTCATTCCACAGGCTGATGCTCTATCCTCTAAGCCAAACCAGCTAGGGCCCTTTCTCTTCTCTTAATATGGTATATTACATGAATTGATTTCTGAGTGTTAAGTCAACTTTGCATTCCTGTGCTAGATTACATTTCGTTATGGTGTATAATCTTTTTTTATGTTGGGAAATTCAGTTTGTTAGTATTTTGTTGGGGCTCTGTATATTTAGAAGAGATACTGAGCTATATAGTTTTCTAGTGATGTTGTTTTTGTTTGGTTTTGGTAGCAGGATAAGTAACTAGCCTCATAAAAGGAGTTGAGAAGTGCTCCTCATCTTTACTTTTGGAAGAGTTTGTGAAGAATTTGTATTAATTTTTCTGTTAATGTTTGGTGAAGCCATTTGGGTATAGGCTTTTCTTTGACGATAATTTGTTTTCTAATTCAGTTTCTTGTTATATGGCTATTCAGCTTTTCTGTTTTTTCATAAGTCAGTTTTGATAGTTTGTGTTTCTAGGTATTTGTTTTCATCTAAATTATTTGATTTATTTGTATATAGTTTATAAAATTTCTTTATAATCCTTTCTGTAATGTAGGTAGTAATATATCCCCACTTTATTCCTGATTTTAGTACTTCGTCCTTTGTTTTTCCTTGGCCAGTGTAGTAGAGGTTTGCCAGTATAACAAACTACTTTTTGGGGTGGAGGATGCCAATTTTGATAATCTTTTCAAAGAACCAACTTTGGTTTCATTGACTTTTCTATTCTCTACTTTATTCATTTCCACTTTGATATTTGTTCTTCTGGCTTGCTTTAGATACAGTTTACTTTTTCCAGTGTCTTAATGTATTGATTTGAGATTTTTAAAAATATAGGCATCTACAGGTATTACTTTGTCTGTAAGCACTGCTTTCATTGCATCCCATAAGTTTTGATATTTAGGTAGTCTTTTTCATTCATCTCAAAGTATTTTATAATTTCCTTTGTGATTTCTGCTTTGACCCAGAATTCTTTGTTTTAAAAAAGTTGATAAAAGCATCTAAATAATGGATGTCTTACTGAGGACCTTAATTGGTAGGAGATTGGAGAATATGAGTTTCTTGAACCTGACCGTATTTTTCTTGATGTTCCCTTTATGGTCTCCTAAAAATATATAATCTTCAAAGGAAGCATTGTAGGGGAAAAGTAATCACCAGGGGCAGCCAGCCATTGGAGTGCATTGAGTAGGTTGGCTAAAACTAATGGAATGAGATAAATAATTAGTCAAGTAAAATCTTGAAGTTGTGTGATTCTTTTTTTAATTTTTTTTTTTTTTTTACATTGATTTTAGTGAGAGGAAGGAGGAGGGAGAGAGAGAAACATTGATCAGCTCCCCTCTTCTGCTAGGGATTGAAAGAGGAAACCCAGACATATATCCTGATTGGTAATGGAACCAATGATCTCATGGTTCATGGGACATCACTCAATCCATTGAGCCACCTTGGCTAAACTAGTAAACTTGAAGTTTTGAAAAAAGTTAATTACAGACTAAAATTAGGTAAGTTTACAAGAATTTATAATCTGTGAAGTTCAACGTCCATTCAATATAGGTGTTTTTCCTAAATATCTTTTGACAGGTGGTCACCTAGTTTATACTTTATTTCTAAGGTTACCATTTATGCCTGCATCAAATGAAATTATAGCGAGTCTATTCAATGTATCCACTTGTCCCCTCAAAAGGCAGCAAGTTCCCACACACAATTGGATGGGGCAGGTAAAGGGGATGTACTTAAGAGTTGTATAATTGACCATAAATTATACTTAAATAGCGTGTTGTGGCTTCTAAAAAATAGCTAATCTTAGATTGCATATGTGCAGTTAAACTGGTGCTAATTTATTTATTTATTTATTTATTTATTTATTTATTTATTTTTAAAATATATTTTATTGATTTTGAACAGAGAGGAATGGAGAGAGATAGAGAGTTAGAAACATCGATGAGAGAGAGTCATCGATCAGCTGCCTCTTGCACATCCCCTACTGGGGATTTGCCCGCAACCAAGGTACATGCCCTTGACTGGAATCGAACCCGGGACCCTTCAGTCCCCAAGCCGACGCTCTATCCATTGAGCCAAACCGGTCTCGGCAAACTGGTGCTAATTTAGAAGAGCAAACATCTTGTCATTTGAGGAACTCTTGAACAGTTTTTCAGATATGGAAAAGGTGAATTAGTGATATCATTAGCAGCCTTCAAACATTTGAAGACTTGGCTTGCTAAAGAGATTAAATTTGGGCTTGTTTTGCTTTTTTTTAGTCCCAAAGGTTGAAAGGAACCTTTGGTTGAGTCCCTATTTCATCAAGATACTGTTCTGTGGGCACAGTGGGTTAATAAATAAAAAAAATGATATTAGTAGATGTGATCACAAAGGAATTTATAATTTAGTATGGGAGAGAGTAGGAAGCTGCCTTCTCCTATACTATAATTTTAGAAAACAAGCAAACTCTGAAGCACATACAGAATACAGGTACATAGTTGAGGAGCTGAAATAGTTATAGGAGGTTTATAATAAAAAAACAGCATTTTCCTTCTGCAGGGCTCCTCACACTTTTCTCTAAAGGTTAATTGTTATCAGCTCTTACCTGTTTAGCTTGTTATTTAAGATCATATTTTCAAATAGCCTTACTGCTATTTTTTATATTTTAGATTAATATAAAGATCTAGCTCTCACTCTGTCTTTCAACATCCATTATCCTCCTAACATATAATTTTAATAACGTTTGTTGAAATCCCGTTTCGTGTTTTCATTATTATTGCTGTGTTAATAATGTGGTATATATTAAATAATTATATTTACCTTCTTACATAACCTTCTTATTTTTCTGAAGTTACCTTTCCAGTTGTTAGCTTTTCATCACATCTAAGTCTTCAGCAATTCTCAATTCAGTTTTCTACACACAGTCATAACTCTCAAAACTATAGTTTCCCCTTTAAAATTTTATTTTTTCAGAAATTTCTCTTGGACTCTCAGTTGCCCTATACTGATCTAAACTGTGGCTCTTTAAACTTGCTGCTCGATTTAGAGTGCCAGTCATCTTACTATTGAGTTTACTGATCAACCCTGCCCAATAAAACTTACTGCATTGATACAAATGTTCCTTTTTTGTATTGTCTAATGCCATATCTGCTAGTCACTTGTAGTTTCTGAGCACTTGAAATGGGTCTAGTGTGACTGAGGAGTTACCGTATTTTTCGGACCATAAGACGCACTTTTTTCCCCCCAGAAGTGGGGGGAAAAAGTCCCTGCGTCTTAATGGTCCAAATATAGCCTACACATATACTTTAAAAAAAAAGTTTTTTTACTTGCCCGGCTCTGTGTGGTCTCTGTGTGCTTGCCCGGCTCTAAAATGGTTCTAAATGCTGCTGTTTACTTTACAGGGTTGATTACATGTGTTTATGATTGTGATGTTGGGTTTTAATGCACATAAAATATTTTAGGACACTATTTGTTTCAGAATCTTTTTTTGTTCATTTCCCTTCTCTAAAAACTGGTGCGTCTTATGGTCCGGAGCGTCTTATGGTCCGAAAAATACGGTATATTTTAACTTTATTCAATTCTAATTTAAATATTCACATATGAGGCTAGTGGACACTGTATTGGAAGCTCATTTCAAGATTGTTTCATAATGCCTTTTCTTTATGCTATTTGTGTTTTTGAACCATGAGAATTAATGAAAAAAAATCAAATAAATTTAAAATTAAAAAGTTTCATACTTAAGTGATCGTTTCATACTGATTAAGTGGCAGTGGGTTGGATTTAATGTAATTGATGTAACTTTTTTTTAAGAGGAATATTTGGGACTACTACTTCTAAGAATTCCTAGAATAAAAAGTTCATGACTTAAAATTCTTTGTCACAGTTTGACACAGTAATAATATAGTTTGATCAAAGTCCAGGAGTTCTATCAATCATAAAACCATGTTTTCTCTTTATAACTGAGTTTCCAATTTAAGGTGAGAATGCAGTAGATAACTATTGTAAGTTTTTAATACATATTTTAAAGAGCTATAAAATCCTATACTGCCTAATAATCTTATTTTGTTTTATGAATTGCTTAATAAGAGCCAAGATATTTATGCAGTGCTCTACTTATTCTATAATTACATAAAGAGCATTGTCTTATATTTGATTTTCTAGGTAGCTACATCAAGCTGGGAGCCAGGCAGAACCAAAGGATATCATGAAGTTTCCAGGGCCTTCGGAAAATCAGAGATTGTCTTTCCTTTTGGAAAAGGCAATCTCTAGGGAAGGTCAGATGTGGAAGGTAAATGTGCCGAAAATGCCTACAAACAAGGTACTGATATTTTTCTTTAAATAAATTACTTTTATTAGAAATAAGTGTACTGCTGTCCTATATAGTATCTTGACATGCACTACAAAATTATGTACACTTAAAGGAAAGGCTCTATTCTTTATTTTAGAAATATCTCCTTGTTTTATTCTGAAACAAAACAAGAACTAACTGTTTTTGTTTGCCTGTTTGTTTTATTTTTATTTGAATTACAGCTTTAGGAAGATAGGTATATCTGTTTTCTTTCCTGTCTGTGCCGACCCAGCACAGCCAAGGGTTCGGTGAGCCTGAGTGAAGGCGGTGAAGGATTGAAGAAAAGACAAACGAGTATATAGCTGGGTCTCTAAGGCCACAGAGAGAGATCCAGAGGGCAAGCTGAGCCTTTATTTTATAGCCAGAGGTAAACAAGGTAGTGGTCACAATAGTTAAAATGTTCTTAAGAGTTTCACTGCACCTCCCACAGCCCATTAGCTACCAGATAGGATCTAGGGGGCTTCATAAGGTCAAGCTTAATTATGCCAACAGCCCTAAGTTTGTGGCTTTGCCAACACGTCAGTCTGAGGCTTACCCATATAGCCACTCCTTCCAATAGTCAATACGTACAGTAGTAAGCTGCCTTTATTTCTACATAAATAGCTAGCCATGGAAGCTGAGTATATATCATTGTCTTTAGGGAACAAAACAAACAAACAAAAAAGCACCATATTTCTTGTATATTTATGAGGAGTTCAAGTAAACTAAGGTAATACAACGTTGGAAGCTTCTAGGGAGATAGCCAATTGACGTCTCAACTACTGTTGGTTCTATGCCCTTTTTTTAAAAAAAGCAAAAGTTCAGTATAAGTCAACATGAAATTGCTGCCAAAACAAAATATAGAGTTAGAATGATTAATGAAGTAACTAATCTAAGACAAAGTGAAGTAATAGTTTTACTTTATTGCTCATTAATGACAAATGTCTCAATTTAAGACACACACTAAAAAGGATATATCTAGAAAAAAAAAAAACGAATGGTAAAAGGGAAATCATGTCAAACATAAAATGGTTAAAGAGCAGGGGATGTTTAATCAGGAAAAGAGATGACTTTATGGGTTTAACACTTGTCTTTAACTAAAGGGCTATTGTTTAAAATAAGAAATGGCTCTATTCTATATTATTCCAGTGGCTAGAACTAGAACCAATCCAAATGACCACTAGAAAAGCAGGTTAAGATTCAATTTAAGACAATATTGTGAATATAGTGAAAAACTTTCCAATAATCTATATAGCTTTTCCACAGTGGAATGAACAAATATCCAAAGCAGAGGATCACTTATCAGAGATGTTAGAACTTTTACGTTTTATGGTTAGACTGAATCAGTGTTTCCCAAACTGAATTCATGTAAATAAAATTTTGAAGATTTTAAAAATACATATTTCCACAGTTGCCACTGCAAGCCCAGTGGGTGTGGTTGGGGCCTGGAAGCACTCACTCTGAAGGGTCTCCTAAATTATTCTGATTTGCTTGGTCGCCAGTGATTTGAGATCCTCTATTTGAAAACCACATAATTAGATGGCCTTTAAGATTCCTTAAGAGTTCCAAAATAATGGAAGCCGTCTTTATATAAACAGCTTGAAGCAGTTTTATGTTTGTATATGAAAAGCACTTGGAAAAATAAATTGGAAATATCTTAAAGTGCATGTCACTTTTACCAATCTTTAATCCCCCAAAAAGCATGTGGCAAAATTATCTTCTACTTAAAAGTGCTATTATTATATAAAAGAATGTCTCTAACCTGGATGAATTATAAAGAAATGATCATCAGTGTTCATTTAATGAATGTATACTGTGAGCCCATTATATGCCAGTGAACAAAAATGTTACAACCCTACCCCAAGAGAACTCAGCCAAATCACTAAGAAACTATAATGTTATCTCAAAAGGAAAGTAGAGTGCTATGGGTGTAACCACTATCCTAAACTAAGGGCTAGGGGATGAAGATTAAGAGAATTGTGAGAGATCCTTGAAGTAGGATTTAGTTGGGGGGGAAGAGTTAAGGTAAAAAGAGGGAATTGGAGAAAAGAAGCAAAAGGTTGGATTAAACCTTTATTTGTTTGGAATACTCACTGAAAATACTCCTCTACTAATCTCAGAGTCATTTCTGTACTTTGTTGTGTTTACCTGGTAGAAGTAGTACTCATATGGATCTGTTTTATATATTAGTAGATTAAGTGTTTCCAGATTTGTTTTGTTTTATTTTTATGGTGCTTCAAGAGTAAAGGCATCTAAACCATTATTGCTTTAAAGTATGTACCTTCTAAAAATTAAGCCTATACTCAGCAGTTAAGAAATAAGATATAGGAAGATTGAAACAATGTGCATTGTGTTTGTGGAATCTCTCTAGTACAGTGTTTTTCAACCTTTTTTGGGCAAAGGCACACTTGTTTCATGAAAAAAATCACGAGGCACACCACCATTAGAAAATGTTAAAAAATTTAACTCTGTGCCTATATTGACTATATATAAAGTAATTCTCTTGAATAGGAATCAAATAAACACAAAGAAAGTATTTTATAATTACTTTATTATGAAATATTAAGTAAACAAAATAGTGAAAAATTATAAAATTCTTGTCTTGTCTGCACCTACGGCACACCAGGCAACATCTCGCGGCACACTAGTGTTTTTCAACAGCGGTTGAAAAACGCTGCTCTAGTAGTAAGTTAGTTCAGGTGACTTTTCCTCTTCAGTATTTTTTATCATTTTAAAATGTAATTTGTCTGTTGTCCCTTGTGTCTTTTATTTATTCCTGTTGACTGTAGCTTTGTTTTCTTAATCATCAGCAGAAGACATGTTAGAGAAGAGGAGGTGGAAGGAGGGAGGGGGGGAGGGGGGAGGGAGGGAGGAACATCAGTGGGTTGCCTCCCAATTGATCTACTGAACGATGTTCCAACCAGCTGAAATGCTTGCCAGGGCTAGCTTTGTTTTTAATGGGCTATCTCATTCTGTTATTGTAGTCTATTTATATTTCCTAAGATAATTTAATGACTATTATTTGTTGTCTTAGAAAATCACTATATTATTCTCAAGAATTGGAAAAACTTAATTCAAAAATTGCTATCAATTAATAACAGTGTTATCTAAATTAAAAATTATATTATTTGAAAACTTCAATATAATTATCAGTAAATGGTGAGATGACATAATATTTTATTTAATAAAGTGAGAACATTAGATTTTTAAAAAATATATTGATATTAGAGAAGGGAGAGGGAGGGAGGTAGAAACCTCAATGATGAGAGGTAATCACTGATTGGCTGCCTCCTGTATACCCACTACTGGGGATCAAGCCTGCAACCCAGGCACGTGTCCTTGGTCAGAATTGAACCTGGGACCCTTCATTTCCCAGGACAGTGTTCTATCCATTCAGCCATGCCAGCTAGGGTGAGAATATTAGATATTGATGTTAAATGCTATACCTAATATATAAACTTTTATCTTCATTTATCTTATTTGCTAGATTTTGAATAAACTTGAAAACATTTTTAACATTTAAACACTATTGCATAGCTCTTGCTAACCTTTTATAAGAGAGAATTCTAAACATATTCTTGATGATAACTTGAAACTTTTCTTGTTTTATTTTAATTTTATGTTTTAATTGTTCCCTTATAGAATGTTTCTCCATCCCAGAGAGATGAAGTGATTCAGTGGTTGGCCAAACTCAAGTACCAATTCAACCTTTATCCAGAAACATTTGCTCTGGCTAGCAGTCTTTTGGACAGGTTTTTAGCTACTGTAAAGGTAATTAATTATTTAGGATACACTTAAACACAGCCTCTGTTTGAGGCTTTATATGCTAAACTCTTGGCTATTAGTAAACATTCTATAAGATGGAAAGGAATAGGAAAACCTTCGTGGATTTGATACATGTACCTATAAGAAAACATGATGTCTTTTATTGTTTTAAATTTTCAGGAATGTTTCTAATTGTGTAATTTTGTTGCTACGAGTATTCCTAACTTATGCTTGTGAAATTTTTTTTATCTAATTTCATTGCAAACCATATAGCATTGACAGAATGTTTAGTCACCTTTTAACATAATGTGGACACTGAATCAAACTAGAAAAGTATAAGCCTATTACACATTTTTCTGTCACTTGTTTATTGAATATTGCCTGGTTTTCTGAACAATATATACTTTTTAGAGGTATACATTTGGAGCATAACAAGATGAACTGAACTGTCATAAAATAACTTGTATTTTTGTTGAATGGCAAATATATGAATATGTTTTATATTGACCCTGTTGGTACATTTTTGGTTATATTATGCAGAATCAGTCATAGTGGACCCTCAACAGATTTAAAGCAGAAAGGTAGCGTTTATTTAATGTCAAGGCATAAAAAATTTAAAAAGCAATTCAATTGTTATTTGTATGTCTAGGATTATATAAGCTGGGGGAACTATGAATTCAGTACTGAGGGTTCTTCTATACTCTTTCTTACTAGGTATGAAACATAGAAACATTTGGATGGCTATTTAGTTAGCTTTTTATGTTTCAAACTAATACTCTTAAGAGACTTTAAAAAACCTTAATTACAGTGATACTAATTGCCTGAAATCGGGGTTATCTGAGATGCCTACTTTTATCTCAGTATCAAGCCCCCCACCCTTCCATCCTGGCTCCCTATAACAACTAACCTCCCTTTCATAGAAAAAGATGCTTTTAAGGTCTGTCTTTTCTTGGGTCATACTTTCTTCAAAAATTATTAATGAACTTATTATAGCTTTTATTAAAGAAAAGATTACTGACCTTATTAAATGTTTTAAATTGATTTGGGCAAGTTTTTTTTAAAATCAATCTTTATTGTTCATATTATTACAAAGGTTCCTCATTTCTTCCCCCCTCCACCAGGTTCCCACCCCACCCTCCTTCCCCTCCCCATCCCCCATTGTCCTCATCCATAGGTGCACAGTTTATGTTCAGTCTCTTCCTCCCTCCCTTTCCCCGATAGTAAATCCCTTTTCAGATAGTAAATCTGTTACTTAGCATTTTCTCATATCAATAATACCTCCACATGCCCAATGATACACTTCACACAAAAAACATTTCCAAATAGGTCAACCAGCCTCATCCAGGCCCCACCCAAGGCACTCACAGATCAACACCCCAGCGCTATACTAACTCAACACATCCAGATCTAAGCCTTCATCACTTGATTCAGCAGACCCTCAAGTTCCCACAAAAGTTTCCAGCCATGTCTGAGAGGCAGCCATGGGGGAGGGGTAGGCGAGGAGGGAGCTGTTCCGGGCCTGGTTGCTCTGGGCCTGGCCTCTGTTGCTCTGGTTCATTCCACGACCAGCTGCTCCGGGTCTGGTCACTGCCGCTCCCGACCTAGTTGCTCTGGACTTGGCTGTTGCTGCTCCAGGCCTGGCCGCACCCGCCCCGGCTGCTCTGGGCCCGGTTCCGGGCCCGGCCGCTCTGGGCCTGGCCGCTCCCAGCCTGGCAGCTGCTGCTCCGGGCCTGGCCGCACCAGACCCGGCTGCTCCGGGCCTGGCCGCTCGATTTGGGCAAGTTTTGAAACAATTTTGCCAAGTATAATCTGATTTTTTTCATATTTCTTATTTAATGGGTCCTGTCATGTTGTTAGCATCAGATATAGTACTGTTATTCAGATGGTTAGTCTGCATTGAAGTAATCTAAAATGTATTCATAGTCTAAATAAAGGCACTTAAACTTTAAATAAAATTTAAATAAAAGGGCTACAGCAAAGAGTGGAACGCTAATCCTAGCTGTGCAGAATAAAGTGCTATGAAGCTCTTTAAAAGTG